ACCAACTGGAAAGAGAAGGCCAACCAGAGAGATGAATGGAGGCAGGTGATATCTTCAGCAATAAACCCCAAAGGCTCAGAATGCTGAAGAAGAAGAAGATTAGTTAGTCAAGGTTCCAACTATCACTCCATTTGTTCTGTTTCTGTGGCTGTAGAAATCATACAAAATGCTCTTCACTATCCTGTAAAAAAAATAACTGATGAAAATGTATCAGTTCCAGCAAATTCTAGAAGCCAACACCCACAGAATGTAAATACAGTGGAACCTCGCTTAACGAGCATAATTCGTTCCAGAGTCATACTCGTTAAGCGAAACACTCGTTATGCGAAACAATTTTTCTCATATAAATTAATGTAAAATACGATAATGCGTTCCATGTCGAAAAAGATACAAAATGCTATGTATAACGTTTATTCAAAGAAAATTATTTACATATTATTAAGGAGAGTGGATCATCTTCATCTTTTCTTCAAACGCATAACGAACCCACATGGAATGCGAATTCCATTTGCAGGAAAAAAAAGTTGAAATAATTATGATACATAGCTAATTATTTTTTTCACTAGAAAGATGTCCAGAGATTTGTTTTTGCGACGCTTCAAAATTTGGCGAAAATGCGACACAGCATTATCATTAAATAAATTTGCAACCCGTATAGCCACTTCCTTATTAGGGCGATGCTTCTCAATGTAAGATGCAACAGTTTGCCATGCTTTCAGCATTTCTCTTATTTCGCCAGAAAATTGTTGCTTTTCTGTTACCTCCTCCTCTTCCTCTGACAAACTTTCCTCCAAAACGCAGCTCTTGGCTGTGCTCTTCCACAATCACTTTGATATCACTGTTATCCACCTACAACCGCCCGGCTCTCTAGCGTAGTTGGCTAAACCGGATTGCGCGGTGAGCGGGTGACGAACTCCTTGTGGTCCGGGTTCACTCCCGGGGGTAGGCAGAAAAGCCACATTTCTCCCAGATTTACGGTATTTAAAATTGAATCAAGGCCGAAAGGTTGCGATATCCATAATACCGAGCCTAAGGGTCAACAACTCATGGCTTCTGGATACTAAAACAAACAACAAACAAACAATCCACCTACAACCCCGTGATAGTGGCCAAAGACACAATCTCGTTGACTACAGGTTTCACTGTCTCGAACCCCTAAAAGTCACAAATAGACAACACTCTCCGGCCAAAGCTTCTTCCAAGCAGAAGTTAGGATTCTCTTGGTAACCCATTCTCCCGCCTTGTCAATCATCTTGAGGCAGGCAACGATGTGAAAATGATTTTTCTCCAAAGCTCTTTGAGAGTGAAGTTGGTCTCTTCAGTCACCTGAAAACAATGCTCGAAGAGTGCTTTAGTGTAGAGTTTCTTAAAGTTAGAAATAACTTGCTTGTCCATGGGCTGGAGTAACGGAGTGGTGTTGGGAGGCAGAAACTGGATCTTGATGAACTTAAATTCTTCAGAGACTTCATCTTGTAGGCCTGGAAGATTCATGTACACAAATTTGAGAAAATGTGTGATCACAAGTGACACTACGATGCTACAGGAATGAGGGCTAAACACAGACTGATGTAACAGGCGCACAATCCGGGACTTCCCTTCTCCTCACCACTCGTTATACGAAACGTCGCTCGTTAAGCAAGTCATTCTTTTACAAATTGTTTTGCTCGTTATGCGAGGTGCTCGTTAAGCGAGGTTTTACTGTATATAAGTTAGTTGCCAAATGTGGCCAAAACTAACAGTCGCTCACAAGAATTACAGGTCACTGTTGATGGATCACGACAGGACAGCATTTGCACAGGCAATACTGCATAAAATACGCCAGTCTGAACATAATATGCCATCCTTGTGTGCAGTTCCAAACAACCCAACAGGGACTGAAGAAAGAAACATTCCACATGAAATCACCAGCTCACAGTGTTTGCACCGAGCACTCACTCAGTAGCTGGATGAGAGAAACTTTGATTTTTTTCTTTCTTTCAGTAGTTACTAGTACCGTTCGATATCTGCTACTGATACATCATGGTACTGAAATGGCTAGCTCAATCAGTACCAACCAATTCACCGTGTTTTAACTGGTAACTTCATACATGACACACTCAGCTTTAAATGGGTTCCAGGTAAAGCTGTGGGAAGTAAAGGCAACCGGCATTATGTTGACCACATCACCCACCGGTCCAAGAAATATAGGTCTAGCCCTATATGCCTAATACAGCTAAAGTCGCTACACACATATTTTATGGTTAAATCCTTGTTTTCCATCCGACTGATACACTACCCCACTCTAAATGGCTACTATAACTCCTGTCCAGTAAGGATATTATTTGGAAATGATTTAGACTTAAAATGTATTATTAGCTGGTAATAATTTGTGTCCCGTCTAGTTCTTATATTTATTTCTTCTTCTTCTTTTTCACTTCCTCTTTTACCGCTGTGGGTGTCGAGGGAGATATATGGTTCTGTTTCTAGCTCTTCTGGCCGCCTCAACCATATGCACATCATGCTGTTGTAGAGTTTCTCTGATGTTATCCTTCCATCTTCTTCTTGGTCTACCTCGTGCTCTACGTCCTTCTCTTTCCATGTATGCTTTGTATGGTATGGTGTCACAAGGCATTCTCTCTAAGTCGGCAAACCATTTCACTTGCTGTCTTCGTATGTAATCCAGAATTGGTTATATATTTATTTACTTTATCTTAATTTCTGTTTTAACCCCTGTCCAACCGGGTATTATTTAAATTTGTTTAGGCTTAATGTTTATTAGTTTAAAATGATAATTTCCTTTGGAAGAAGGTGAACAATGCAGAACAGTGAACTTATCATGTAAAAAAACAACAACAACCAAGTAAGATAGTAAAAGAAAAATGGCAGCCAAGGTCATTTTTTGGAAAAAATCCTGCTCCATCAGGACCCAAACCCACAACCTTCCAATCCACAGGCAAGCATCTAGCTGCTACAAAACGGCGACTCCTGAATTCACCATGGTCTGGAAAGTATGGCGCACTGGGGAATTACCGGGAATCTGAGGCTTAAAGCTGACAGAAAAAGCAAGGCAAACATATGTTACCCACGTCTGTGGTTTAGGCGTTGTGAACGTGCTTCATAATACTAGGGTGCCGGGTTCGATACCAGCTGCGGAGCCCGACTTTTAATAAAACTTTTTTTAAAAAGATTACCACGGCTCCCAGGCTGACCCAGCCTCAAACAGGTACCAGGTACCAGCGGTCAGCATGTGTTGACCACATCAACCAGACAGCGCCCACTGGTTTATAAACTACAAGTCTAGCCCTAGAAGCCTGAAGGCTTGAAAAATGGTCATCTTTTTTAGGTGACTCCAAAAAAATAAAAAAAATAAAACAAAAACTGCACAAGCAACAGAAAATATTTCAATCTTTATTTCTACTTGAACAACTTGCTAACTCTTTCAGACCCAGAAGAGAATTATAGTTGCAATGTTAACTGAATCTGCAAGAGCTTCAAAGATTATGTATGTATGTATGTGTGTATGTATGTCTGTTTATAACAAAATATATTGGATCTTCTAATGAAAACCTTAAAAGTGTAAAAGAATGTACAATAACCATGCCACTGATTTGTAACCTGACATTACAAGTGTTAAGCATGTGACGTCACAGTGCAGTTGAGCACAGTAATCTCAAAATGATAGTTTATGGATGGCTGCCCCACTTTTAACATGCACCAACACTACTGACAAGTCACAAGGCAAGGGCACGGTCAGTGTTATTTCTATCACACTTTTAAGGTTTTCATCTGAAGCCATCTTATATGTGTATATATGTGGGTGTGTGTGTGTATATATATATATATATATATATATATATATATATATATATATATATATATATATATATATATATACATACCCACAGATGTCTTGAGTTTGCTCTGACTGCCTACAAAAACATTCAATAGGAGTCTCAGCGACTAATTTGTTGAGCCCTTTGTCTGCCACTCAAGGTCATGTGCTTGTTAAACAGACTGCATCATTAGGTTCACCTGCCAATTTTACATGCATTTCGGGAGATCACTCCTGAAGCTACGGAGTTCATGCTTTTGAAAGGCAGCCAGCCATTCTGTGCAGACATGCTGAGCTTATATGGAATAAAATCCAGTGCCATTCATTAATTTAATCCATTTGAAGAAACAACAGATAGCATACCATGTGTTGCCTGATGTGCTCCAACAATAGTTCATTGCACATGTTGCATTACATGGGATTGAAAGAGTTAAATGAGTCAAAATGATCCCAGTGTAAGTTCCAGGCCTTGTTTTGTATGTGTGTGTGTTGAGGGGGGGGGGGGGAACAGACCCACAACCCCTTATTAAGCCTGTTGTAAAAGTCACTAAGTTAGGTTTTAGTGAAACCAGGTGTGCTGAGCTGAAAGGTTCAGATAAGGTAGCTCAGTAATAAACTTAAACACAATGTGCTAAATGCCCTTTTTTTCGTTTTTAAAGTCCCATAAGCTTAATGTCCAAGGATGTTAAAAAGTGACAATACTAAACTTATGGGCACACTACTTCCAGAGGGGCCAAATATACAACCCCTGCAGGAAATACTATGTTTTTTAGAGCACCTCGCTAAAGATAAGATGCAACAGCTTTCATAACATTTTGACTGGTACACATGAATAATACCCAATCACGCATGGTGCGTTTTTTGAGACAGGAAGAATTAAGGACGAATGCAGAAAAAAGATGAAGAAGGAGAATTCAAATAAGAGATACAAAGCCAAGACAATGAAGGCAAGTAATCTTGATATCACCGAAAGAATAATTTATGTATACATCATACACTGAGGTTACAATAATGTATGTGTCCAATCACATCAAACAATGTTATAAGCACATAGAAGCAAGAGTTTATGAGCTTCTGTGAGGTAAAACAAATCTCTATGCATGCTGCATACCAAACCTCTGCACAGGCCACCGCTAATAACAATCTCTCCGGTGTACAGTCACAGAGAGTTGCAAACTCCCACCACCTGTCACGTGCTCAGGTGGTGGTCTGCGTTGATTTCTGTGGTAGACAGTTCTTGGATCAGATCTTCGATTAGCTTTCGTTTGCGCTGAACAATCTCCTGGTTTAGGACCTCGTGCACTGCAATGCTGAAGCACTCGCAGAACTCCTTGATGAGGTGTTCAACCATTGCAATGACGTATAATCCAGAGTCATTTGCTGAAAGTACAAGTAAAGTAAGCAAAGTGAAAAAAGTAAAGATCCCTTTTCACGCCTTTAGGCGCATCATATGGGAAGAGTGCCCCATATTTTTACAGACCAATCGGCACTGGGTGGGTAATGAGGTCAGCATTACGCCGGCCATCTTTACTTCCCTAGGACAGCCATCCTGGTACCCATTTTAGGCTGGGTCAACCTGCCATGATAAAAATCCACGCAGCCAGCAGTGGGTTTTGATTGCGGTACATTGGAATTAGGAGTCGGACTCGGAAAGCCTAAGCCGAAAGTACAGATGACATTAAATATTAAACGTCAAGTAAAGGACCCTTTTCAAACCCATGGTGCATCACACACAGGATGATGAGTTTACACAGACCAATCAGCACTCAGATGAGGATGATGATGATGTCAGCATCATGTTCGCCGCTTTTAATTCCAAAGAGATTTCCTGGAATCCATTTTAATCCTTAATGGCCATGATCAATTATTGTTTTAAAATCTATCTTGACACAGATTTGAATGACTGAACAAGCATCTAATCAATGCATTACAAGTCTAAGAAAGAACAAAAAAGTTTTTTTTTTTTTTTTAAATTTACAAAGTGTTTAAAAAATGCAAAAGATGGGGAATTTAAAAGATAGAAAATAGCAAGAAAACAAAGTATATGTCAGCTTTACAACTTATATTAATAAAATAAAAAAGGTTGTGGTCTTCATCAGCAGAACAATGATAAGTAACAAAACATAACATATACACTAAATGAACTCAGTGAAATGACTACATATATTTAAATATTAGGTAAATGAAATACTAATAAAATGACAGAATTGTATAAGGTATGTACTACTTAACTGGACAGGTGTGAATTATATAAAGAACAGAAATGAAGCAGGTATTGCTTTTATAAAGGAGCGAGGAAGCGAAAAGGTGAAATCCACATCCCTGGAAGTAAAGGGCTGCAGAGATGGGGTACAAAGCGTGGCGGACAAAGGGGACTGAGAGGAAGAATGCAGGAGGCAAATGGTGCTAACCACATATTTGTATAGATCAATAGGCGCATGATGTGTGATGTCTTTAAAAACACCTGGCCCCTTTTACTTGCTAGATAATTTCCCGACACCCACTTAACCATGTTGTCTAGCAAAAGCAGGGGTTTTTGATGACAAGATATCTGTGGGCAGTGTTCAATACACCTATATAACAGCTATGGTACTGCTTGCGAATGCAGCATAGTGTGTAGACATCATGGGTATGATTATAAGCCCAAAACATGTTCCAGTTTTCTTCTCATAACACAGGGCTGTACAATTGATTAACATGTTAGCTCGGCTCTCTAGCGAAGTTGGTTAAACCTGATTTTCGCGGCGGCCGGGTGACGAACTCCTTGTGGTCCGGGTTCACTCCCGGGGGTAGGCAGAAAAGCCACATTTCTCCCAGATTAACGGTACCTATAATGGAATCAATGCCGAAGGGTTGCGATATCCATAGTACCGAGCCAAAGGGTTTACAACTCATGGTTTCTGGATACGTAAAAAAAAAAAATAAAAAAAAAAAATTAACATGTTAAAAACACACACACACATACAAACACTTTTTGTTTTTTTAAAAAGGCCCCCCTCTGAACTTCGTTCCCATATTAAGGCGGCCAAACAAAAACCCTAACAGGGCCTCAGTCGTGTGTAAAATGCGGAGTGCCTGCTGAGGAACAAATCGCAGAAAAACTAGGATTGCCTCTGAAAAATTGGCCAATATTATCAAGGGCAAACAAATACTCTAACAGGGTCTCAGCGAAATGTTAATTGCGGACCTGTTTCTATGACTATGCCGCACCACCCACAGTATCCCCCGCGCCGCTACGCGCGGTGCGGATTGGGGGCTAAACTAGATGGCTGGGACTCATGAGCAAATAAATTGGAGGAAGTTGCGGTAGTTGCTGCTCATGAGGTTAGCCATCTTGTTTAGCCCCCCATCTGCGCCACTATGGACGGCACGAGGGATACACTCGGTGGTGAGTTAGTCGGAAGAACACTATCGCTAACCTGCGTCGAAGTGCGTGGTCTCACCTCAATGTCACTATTATCGTGTGTATTGTTGTGTTTCTCAAAACTGTCAAAGGACAGTAATCCTAGTTTTGTCACAATGTGTTCGTCAGAGGAAGTCTGCATTTTAAACACGACTGAGGCCCTGTTATGGTATTTATTTGGCGCCATAATATGGGGACGAAGTTTGGAGAAGAGCCAAAAAATAAACTGTGCCATCTCCACAATGGGAGTCGCCATGGTGTAGCGGCTAGACGCTCGCATGCAGATCAGAAGGTCATGGGTTCATTCCCTAGCGGAGCCGGACTTTTTAAAAAAATGACCTTGACTCCCAGGTTGACCCAGCCTTGAGTGGGTACCGGGTGCAGTCTCGGGAAGTAGAGGCAGCCGGCTGGATGCTGATCACATCACCCATCTTGTGCTGATTGGTCTATAAAAATACAGGTTTAGCCCTATCTGCCTAAAGGTGTGGAAAAGAGACCTTTACTTTTTTACTTTTTATTTCCACAATAGAGGCTGGCTATATATGTATCCACTGCTAATTATGATAATATTATATGGTAAGGCCCCATTTCTTCCATGGTGATACTTTCATACCACTAATAAGTTACAAAAAAATGACATGGTTACTGTAATTTCTACCACACTTTTAGGGTTTTCATTTAAAGCTCCTTCACACAAAGACAGCAAATAAAACAATGCCCAATTAGACAGGACGCCTTGTGAAGCCATATATCATACAAAGCATATACTAACAGAGGAGAGGGACACAGAGCATGAGATAGGCCTAGAACAAGATGAAATGATAAAACCAGAGAAACTCTACAATGGGTCAATAGTCTAGGTCAGTGGTTCTCAATCTTTCTAATGCGGCAACCCTTTAATACAGTAACCCTTATGTTGTGGCAATCCTTTAATACAGTAAACCTTATGTTGTGACGACCCCCAAACAATTATTTTCCTTCATAACCAACGAATATGTGTTTTCCTATGCCGTAGGTGACCCCTGTGACATGGTCACAACCGGCAATTTAAGAACTGCTGGTCTAGGTGGTCAGAAGTGCCAGCACCCGGAGCTGTAAAAGAGGAAGTGAAGAGGAAGTACTGTAAAGATAAATGTTCAGTACAAAAGTTGTGTATACTCACTGATGTCTTGCTGAGGAATGTCCATTTCAACAAATTTTAATTTACTTCTGGGTGCTGGAAAACAGAAAATAGTATTTCTCTATATTTCCACAAAAGCTACAAGGTCAATTTTATATCATCATAGAACCATGTTGTAATCTATAGCCTAATTTCATTAAAAACCTTAGTCATTTTATACTCAAATAAAGGAAAGGACCCACTTTAAGCCTCTGGAACCCTGGGCATATGGTGCCATGATTCAGAATTGTATAGACTAACCACCACTAGTTGGGTGATGTGTTCTGGATTACACTGGCCATCTTTACTTCCAAGGAATTTCCTAGTACCCCTTTTAGGCTTGACCAACCTGTGAGCCAATATTAATTATAAAAATTGGCTTTGAAGCGGATCTGAACTCAGGGTTTTCTCTTAATCTTCTGTCCTTCTCATTTATAGTCTTTTAAGATGAGCTGAGCGAGTGAACAATTTTCAAAGGGTCACAAATTGGGCATGAAGGCCAATGTTACAACTGGCCCTTCCACACACCTATCTTTCACACAGCAGTTGTAAGATATCAATAAAGCATGCTATGTTGACATAATAATATGCATATTATGAATATCAAGAAAGTGTATACTTTATAGGTAGACAACAAATCAAATGGTTTGGCCATGTAACAAGAGTGGCAGCAGACAGGACACCACAGAGAGCAATGTTATACACATACTGTGGTAACAGACTCAGAGCTTGACCATGCAGAAGATGAACTGCAGAAATATCAGACACTGAAAAGTACTTTATACAAAGCTAACAGAAGGGCCCATTCTAGAGATCTCTTCCTATCCTGAAGCGCTAGGTATTCCAGGAGTAGAGAGAAGAAAAAGAAGAAGAAAGTAGAGTCAAGAACAGCACTTGGGACATTCCCATAAAAACTCTGTCCTCATTTTCAGCAGCTAGCATTGAGTTCCAATTTGATGATTCCAGAAGCATTCTGATTGTATGTCCATCTTGCATTTTGCCTGAATACTGATTGTATGTCCATCTTGCATTTTGCCTGAATACTGATTGTATGTCCATCTTGCATTTTTCCTGAACATTGAGTGTTGCCTGGTCACTCTCCACAACACTATTTTTTATCAGACTGTGGTGATCTATTTGAGCCCAAACTTGTATTCACTCGCTTCCAAGGACCCTGATAACATCTAATTTGTCATGCATCAATTTGCTACCAAGCGGTGCAAAACCAGCCAATATGTCTGTTTGTTAGTTCCTCAACACACCTGCATACCCTGGAGAAAATATCGAGAGGATGCTAACTAAACAGGAATTCAGAAGGATGCTTGCCACTCTGCACAGCATACCTATACCTATCCGCAATACTTTTTTCTATAGTGTGTTTTATCAACTTATGACTATAAGTTTTTTTTATTCTCTTCTGCCTTTCCAATAGTTGGACAGTAGAACAGCCCAACATGAATAAGCTGAATGGAAGAGGCTTGGAAAAATATAAACTCATGTCCTACTTGCAAAGTGATTTGCATCGCTTGACAAAACATAAAAAACACACAATATGCATTTCAAAGTCTTCTTCTTTTCTGTCTATTCGGAAAAACTAAGTTATTGTATGTACTCTTGTACTCCCTGTGTGGGTTCTTAGGCACCATTGTGGGGGAAACAACAATACACCCACTGCCTTCTCAATAAGCATGTCGTAGGAGTAGACTACCTGGGGGCATCCTTCAAAGTCAGAGTACATCTCCCTGGAAGGCAAAGAACCAAGAGTCTGCATACAAATAAGCCAGATCTGTGAAATGGATGTGCACGCAACACTCAGCTGGACAGTCGAGAGAGAGTGGTTTTACAAATGATGACAACACTCCAGACAAAAAAAAAGAGGAATGAAGATGTCTTTGAAGAAAGTGACTCATGAAGAGAACAGATTGCCCATACCAGGAGACGACAATCTACATTCTTTGGTCATGTCACAAGAAGGGGAAAACAAGTAAATTGAGCCGAAGGGAAAGCTGGAGGAGAAAACAGGTAGAGGGAGACAGAGAGAGAAGATGGTGAACAGCTTGACATCATGTAATGGAAGATCATCTGTGTCAGAGCTGACAAAGTATATGAGAAAAAAGGTTGTGGATGGATTTGACTATCAATGCATGGACTATAAGAAGAAAAGGTGGGGAAGGGAAAGGTGGGTGGGAGAACACAGAGAATTAAGCCCTTTTATTTTATTATATAATGTCATTTGAACAGCAACATGAGATTAGCTAACTAACCTTGCACAAAGGGCTGCAGTTTGTCCACTAATTTTTTGGCCACCGACTGGTTGCTGCCTCGTTGTACATCGTAATGGTGAAACTCTTGTTTACTCCTCATGTACACTAGTAGGCTCCTGAAAATTCATGCATAATCAGCTTTAGTCAAAATATTTTCATATGTAATCCTGAAATGTTCATAAACATCTGTAGACGTAAACTCAGATTTCACCTTGAGAGGTTCAAAACCAGGCAATGTCTGATAAACAGTCTTCTTGGTCTTGAAAGTTTTGCAAATAATCAGCTTTAATCCAGAAATGTTTGACAGATTTTCAGCTCTGGTGTCGAAATCTTCATGAACAATCATGAATTCATAAATAAACATCCTTTCCTACAAACATATATTTGTGAGCACACATACACACACACAAATTCACACATAAATTCATACACACACGCACATATATTCCTACATATGTTCCCACACACACACATGCATTGCACACACATATACACACACATATACATACATACACATACATTATCATAGATTCCTACTTACTCTCATACATTCACACATGTATTTATAAACACACTAGATCAGTGTTTCCCAAACTTGTCTTGGCCACAGCGCCTTTCTTCAATGGAAATTTTTCCACAGCACCCTAACCTAAGTAAAAGTATGACTATTCGTGTCTTGGTTAAATCAATTATGAAGCTTTTACAATTTTCCGTGGCGCCCCTGTGAAGTGTTGGAGGCTCCCAGAGGCACCGCGGTGCATAGTCCGGGAATCACTACACTAGATCTTGAGGCCTACTAAACAAACAGAGACATACCACTGAGTCTTGCCAGTTGGTTCATTCTCATAGGCATTGCTAACAGGAACAAAGATGTACTGTTTAATGGGAAGATGCAAGGGTTCCAACAAGACCATACGTTCTTCAACTGTAAACATAAAAGCAAATTATGTTAAGCAGATTCCATCACCTCGTTACCAGTAGGCAGAATGAAAGCTAAGAATGGTTAAAAACAATATCCTACAATGCATGTCATAAAAGGACTACAAGGAGTTTTGGCAGAAGAGACTAGCTACCTTATACCCTGCAGAAAACTTCAGCTGCAAAATTATATCAATCATAAACAAGTCGACAAAGAAGCCTGGCTCAGGCAGCTTGAAGTTTAAAACACGGATCATCAACTTGACACATGGATAGTAACCCATACGTGCTCCATTCTACTCATAACTCAAGTCTGAGTCCCAAGTAGCTCAGCGCAGTGCACGGGCTCAATAGCACCGGCGAGGACCCTGAAATATTTTGGGTAGATTTTCAACTTATTTTGCCTGGGCAGTGCCATTAGGCTACTCTTTTCGATTTCCAACTGCCAAGATATTTTTTTTACCTATGCAACCATACATATGGGCGTCCAATTTCATTACCCAGAGACCAGGGGAAATTACTAGAAGTCCACGTGAACAGAAAAAAATTCCAGCCTTCACCGTGGCCTGAACCCGGGACCTCTAGCCCCCGAGGCAGACGTCATACCTCGAGACCACGCAGCTAATGGCTTACATTCCACTCAGAGGTGAAGAGAATCTTCTTTTTACAGTCTCTGTCATGTAGGATTAGTAGTCATGTACATCCACAACCTTATACATATTTTCAATCAATTATGACACCGATGATCTTCTATGCTATGATGTCAAGCTGTCCAGGATTTTCTCTTTCCTACCGTCAGGATTTTCTCTTTCCTACCGTCAGGATGTACTCTAGTTTTCACCTTCTCATGACATACCAAAGAATGAAGACTTGTCTTTTTATTATGTGGGCAATCAGTTCTCTGTCCAGCATCTTTAAAACATTCATCATTAAAACCACTTCTTTACCGCTTCCAAATTATTAGATGAAGAATACAATTTCATAATTCTTTATTTCTAAGACTAGAATGTAAATTTTGTTTTGTTTTAAAAGTATAGGACCCCCTTTCTCCCCTAAGGTATGTTACTTGTTATCCGTATCAACATCCCAGCACATTCGTTCCATAAGGTTACTGAGTATTAGTGCTAGCCCCGTATTTTTACATACCAATCGGCAGAGTTTTGTCTTCTGGCGGTACATAATGGTACACAGCATCTGCACCTTTTTTAAGCATCATTTCTTTTTTAGTACGACTGTAATAGATCATTTTTGACAAAAGTGACGAATATTTATGAGACGTCATTATCATATGTCTTTCCAATAAGTGTAGGCGGATATGTTTCACAATCTCATATTATTACCAGAGTCAGGGATCAGGTCAGTGTTCTTGCCTCCCTCTGATCTATGTGACCAGGCCATTAGGGTATTCAACTCTTTGCCTGTCAAATGTTCTTTTCCCATAAATCTTGCCAGGTTGTCACCAAGTTCTCAAGTTCATACGTTCTCATAACATATCCAACAAATTGTGACTGCGTTTGTCTAATTTCTCCAATCAGTTTATGGTTTCCTGTTCCAAGAAAGACTGCTTCATTTGCTTTTTTATCATTCATTATATTCTTTGCATTCTTCTAAAAAACCACAGCTCCACTGCCATTAGATGTTTCCTTACATGTGTGTTTACTGTCTATGTTTTACATGCAAATACCAAAACAGGTTCTACTGAATGCATGCCTTTCTTAACAAACAAAAACTTCATATAAAAAAAAAATAAGGCAAAGGAGCCTGTTTACATGCCCATATGGTATATTACTAGGTCAATATTTTCAAGATAAACTGTCAAAATGTGACATGATCATAGTTCTGGCTACTTTGCCTCTTTGGAAAATTGCCAGCTGCCAATTGTTTTAGGTAGCATCCAATAAAACACATTAAAAACAAAACAAAACAACAGATTTAAGCAAACTAAATTCATCAGCAGCCGCAGTGGTATACTGGTTAATGTGCTTGCCTGCTAAAGCAGTTCATTGTCCTGCTGTGCCATTATATGTCACACATGGCTTGCAGTCAATTCATAAATTCTGTTCATCTTTTGCAATCTCTTTGATATCGTTGACGTAATCCAGTTCAGCACCTTTGGCTTCTCTCGTCAACACTGGGTTTATGGTTTCTCTTAGATATCTTCGTTTCCTCAATCCATCTATTTCCCATTTCAGTGCCTTGGTGATTCTCTGTTTGTCTCTTCTCATAATGTGTCCAATATAGAGACATCTTCTCTGTCTTATAACTGTTGACACCTTTGGCTGCCCAGACATTTCTCTAAATTCTTCACTTTACTTGAATTCACATTTTTTACATTCATCACCTTTGTTAACTGCTTCCTTTCCCATAGCTCAGGGGAAGACAGATATACAATCAGGCAGTTACTGGTGCCTTCGGAATTGGAACTTTTCATTTGCTGCTGAAGATGGGGACAGAGCGCTTATGGAGTGTCCCCAAGTGCTATGATGTTGATTCTTAATTCAACATTTAACATCCCCATAACTCACTCAACACCCACACTTTCACTGCCAAATTTTACGTTAAAATCTCCTATTACTAATATAAGGTCATGTTTAGCAATTTTATTGACTTCACGCTGCATTTGGTCGGAAAAGATATCTTTATCATGAGGCTCAGCATCACTCATTTGCTAAGACACTGGTCTGGGATTAACCCTTAGAAGTGTTCTTTTAACAGTAAGGCAGGCTGTGACCTATGAATGCATGATACATTCTATTAGACTGAAAGAGTTAATTAAAAAAATAGATATTAGAAAGGAATTTTGGGTTAAAATCCACATCGGTACAGATTTTTAAACCTGACCTGGATCAACCTACTGATAGCAGTGAATGTTCTGAGAAGATGATGCAGTGATTAACACATCAGCCGCCTTTACTTTCTGAAACATTTCCTGGTATTCATTTCAGGCTGGACTGTTTTAAGAGCCCAGATATTCTTAAATAATTTGCCATAATGAATGAATGAATCAACAAGAATTGACATCCCTGCACTGGGGACATTCCCAAAGGTGTTCCGTCTCCTAATTACCCAACAAAGAGTTGATATGCTTAATAGTACCAAGTGTAACCTGAATACAAATCTGCCTATGTTTTCCCCTCAATGTTAAATATCTTTCAGAACCTCTGCTCACACCAACTCCCCCTCCCCCCCCACCTGAATTAGTCTGTCAAAGTATGGGTGCTTGGTCTCTTCTGTTGCACTGCCCACTTGATTCCAAACAGCCTTCACCAGGTCCACTTTGTTATGAAGTAGCTCACCACCCAGATGAGCTGCAGCAGCCAATCTATCAGCCTGCTCATTACCCCGCACACCTAACTGTCCTGGACAGAATATCCATGATATGCTCCTGATCTGAGTCCGTTACAATTACCTCATGCTGGGCTGTGCTGCTCTCCAGCCATCAGAAAGCTGCCGTTCCTGCCTCCACCCCCATTCTCAGACTCGATGCTGTTACATTATAAGCAAGGCTCTCTGTTTGAAAACAGTGTCCATTCACCTTTGCAATAAAATCTCACCTACTCTTTCTAGTAGGGCTGTACCGAATAGTAATTTTCACTATTCAGCTGAATACTAATACGAATAGTGTATAGTGTATAAAAATATATCTTTAAAAAAAAACATATTCACAGTGTCAAATGTACGCTGAACTTTTACTTCACATAAAAGTAGCACATCTTATTCTTGAGCACTCTGAGCCCTTGAGGTTTACTGCTGCAGATATCACTAGTCTCCCTCCATTCATCTCTCTGGCTGGCCTTCTCTTCACAATTTGTGACACCAGTTGTTTGCAGGTCTGGCTGGACATTATCTCTCGAACTTCTTTTTTGTCTATTTCATGGTCTACGCCCATTCCTCTATCAGGTGTATACAGTTTTTATTTCTCTGTCATCTGACATTCTTTCAATATGCCCCAACCATTTTTTTTAGTCTGTTAGCTGTCATGATGCCAGTGATCAATGGTGATTTAAACAGATTATGTGTTTCGTTGTTGCTACTCACTCTCCATTCCCCACTGTTAGCATCTTTGATAGTTCCAAAGATTTGTCGTAAGACTGTTTTCGAAAACCTGTAATAAGGCCTCAACTCTTTTATTTCTGCTTCAAGTTTCAGAGCCATATAACACGACTGGTCTTATCAACATTTTATATATTTTGAGAGACAGACACTTTGACTTTAGCAGATGTTGAAGGGCATAGTATACTTAATTTCTAGATTGTATTCTAGATTGTATTTCTTCTGCCAGCATGTTGGAGCAGTTGAAGTTTGCACCCAAGTACTTATATGTTTCCGTTCATTTGATTTTCAAATTATCGACTTGGATGTGGCCGGAGTTTATATTCTTTCCATGTCTAGTTAGTATTCGTACAGAATAGTAAACATTTAAAAACATTTTATGTTTTGCATCCTTCAGTCAGTCTGTGGTAACTTTTAACTAGGAATGAAATAATCATAAGTATTATAACAAGTAATTAAACTTGGAAACTGTCACTGACAGCTTAGTTATTGCAGGAAAGTTGCATTAGCTTTCAACAAAACCAATTGTTCCATGTTGTCAGCATTAAGGCCGTATATGCAGAAGCGAGTGTAAGGTAACTACTATTCGTATTCGGCCCGACCGCAACTATTCGGCCGAATACTGAATAGTCAATAGGTCCACTATTCGGCCCCGAAGCGAATATTCAATACAGCCCTATTTTCTAGCTCTCACTACAGATCCATCTGCGTATAAAACAATGTCTCATGGGAGTGAATTTTCACTGATTACCTCCTGCACCGATGCCTGTTTTACCAGCTGTCCATTCCTGGCACCCTCGGTCCAAAGTAAATATCACTCTGTGCAAGTTTGCTAGGTGACACAGTAAGACATTCCTCACCATGCGCTATTTTGTCAGTAGTACAGACAGTTCTGATACTGACTTCTGCTTGTGCCATCCAAGAACTACCTGTTTTCAGCTGATTAACCTTGCTACCCCCCTTCCCAAGGCCTCATGTAGAAGGTGTTCCCTGTCCACTGAGACTTTAAGGTAATGAAGATCTGAACCAGCCCACTAGGCAAGCATCAAGAAATGCTCACATTTTCTACAATACATTTGGCTGTAATATGACTAAGGCAACATTTTACAAAATAATAATATTCCATGCATTATTCCTTTGTCAACTGAGATTAAACGGTTCTCAAGAGCTTTATAAATCCTATCCTGGCATATGGAAGTGAACTATGAAGAGTTTGACAATTAGTGAAAAATTATCTGGCAGCAACGGAGATGTGGTTTTATAGACAAATGAGAATACTCTGGACAGATTAAAAATAATAATGAAGATATCTTGACAGAAACTGACTCATGAATAGAAGAGACTGCCCACATCAGATGGAGACACTGTTCTTTGGTCGTGTCAGGAGAAGGAGAATTGTGAAGATTGGAAAATCAGAAGGGGAAAAGAGACAGAGGGAAACAAAGATGCTGGACAGTCTGACATCATAGCATGGAAGATCATCTGTGTTAGGACTGAGACAGAAGTTGTGTATAGGTTGTGTATAGACACGACTACCAACGCCACATATCATGGACTATACGACCAGGACAGTAGACTTTTTCTTCTTATGGCTCAAGCCAAATGGTATTTGTCATCATGTGTGTCCACAGCTTTCTGTCACATGCACTGCCAAACTTTGTATCCAGATGTTAGACCTTACCATGATGTCAAACTGTCTAACATCATACTCTTGGTCTTCCCTGGCTCTCTTCCCCTCAAACCTCCTGAAGTCAGGAGTTACGTCAATCTTCCTATTCTCATGATATTCCCAAAGAATGATGACCGCCAACTAATGATGTAAGTAATCAGTTCTCTTAGTGAGTTAATTTCTTCCAGAGCATCTTCATAACATTTTTTATTTGTACTTGGTGCTCTCATAATTCTTCTGTATGTTAAAATAAAAATCAACATCACAGCACTCAGGACACTCCTGTAAGTGCTCCATCCCCATCTTCAGTAGCAAGCGAAGAGTTCCAGTTCCGATGGTACCAGCAACTGTACATCCATCTCACCTTTCCCTTGAGTGTTGAGCGTCGGCCACATCCCCTGGTAACTCCCTGCAACACCATTCTCCTCAGACCATAATGATCTATTTGTGCCTCCACACTGTTCACTCGCTCCTAAAGGGCCCTCACAAAATCTAGCTTCTCATACATCAATTCACCACTAAGTGGTGCAGAATCCGCCAACCTATCTGTCTGCTCATTTCCCAACACACCTGTATAACTTGGGGAAAATACTTAATTCTTCTATAAAACCACATATGTGCAAATACCACTTAAATTACTCTAATCTGCTAATTGTCCTTGCTTCACTTGTGATAGGATCTGGTCTGCCTTAAACCGGAAATCTTTCTAGCAATGAGAAAACATAACAGCCTTACCTGAAGCAAATATCACGAACTGTGCCACGGAGGGGTTGATGAGTGCTATTCTGTCTGCAGAATGGTTGAACTGTTCTCTCACAAAATATCTGTAGACAAAAAAAAAAAATATATATATATATATTTATATGAAAATAATTACTCCTAAATGTGCAATACAAGTCAATGATGTTATTTTGGGACAAGTACAGAAATTCAAGTATCTGGGCACGTGCATAACATAAGATGAAGGATGCATTACTGAGATGAGAAACAGAACAGGACAGGCAAAAAATGCATTTTATAAAATGAAGAACATCTTATGCAATATATCTTTGTCATTGAGAGTCAGCAAATAGTTGTCTGATGACCAAAAGTATCAGCTTGTTAGTAAGCAAAAGACATCATCAAAATGAGTCACAGAAATAAACAATTCTTAAATCTGATTGTTGCAGAGGATGAAAGATGGATTTTCCGCTATGGTCCCTCAACTAAATGCCAAAGTTCTCAGTGGAAGTAATCATTAACATCATCATGTTAGTGTGCTTCTACGACAGTAAAGGAGTTATTCACAAAGAATTTATTCCAGAGGGGCAGTCTATCACAGCCACAGTTTATTTGAGTATTTCATACGTCTGCTGAAAAAGAATTTCTCAGTCTGACCCAAGTATTCAACACCTGGCAGTTTTTTCCTTCTTTATGACAATGCACCGGATACCCGGGCGGTAGTTATAAAGAAATTTGTGGCCCAAAAACAAGTGTGTATTCTCAACCATCCACCCTATTTCCCAGATTTGTCTACTTGTGATTTTTTTATAATTCCAAAATTAAACTTTCCATTGAAAGGACGCTTCTTTGACGATATTGATGACATCCAAAGGGTTGTAACATCGACTTTAAGGGCAATAACAACAGAAGAACTACAGAGGATGTTCCAGTGTTTGTTATATCGTGCCACTTGCTGTATCAATGCACAAGAGGCTTTTTTGAATAAAATACAAATATATATATATAACTGTTGATAATTTTAATTTTTTATGAAATTAGTCTCATTACTTAATTATAAGTAAAATAGGAGTTACTGGTTGTCAACCATATGCTTATGGCACAAGAGTGTATATGCCACAACACTGGCATACATTTTAAAATAATACGCTTTGAAAACATGCAGCTTTCATGTGGCATCACTAAATTTATCAGATTATTTATGTTCTTCTTTCTTCTTCTTCTCGTTCAAGGGCTGTAAACTCTGATGGAAAGTTCTGGACATTAGTCTTGTTCCAGAACTTGAGTTTTGTATACACATCTGTTTTACAGATCTTAATTATCTGTATGCAGACTGTTAGTTCCTCGCCTCTCAGGCAGATGCACTCTGACTTCGAAGGATACACCCATAATTAGTCACCTCTTACAACATGCTTATTAAGGAGGCAGTTGGTCTGTTGTTTTTCTCCTTAAAATGGGACCTAGGAACCCACAGAGGGAATTTTTCAGGTTGACATCTGAATGAGTGCATGTACCCAGTCCCAACAGTAGGGTAACCACTGTAGAACTTTTTTTTTTTTTATAACTACACTCTGCCTTTAAAAGAAAAGGGGAAAGGGGTGGGGAAGAGGTGTTGTCTGAGTATAGTGTAGACTTTTAGTATTATACATGATAGTGTTTAACCATTATGGATGCTATAATTATAACTATTCAAGAGATTGAATAGTTCATCTAGGATTTTTCCATAAAGTTGATACATTTAAGTGTCAGCATGATCCTAAATTCCCTAAGAATCAAGGGTTCAGGAGAATTTAAACAGAAATTCACAGTTTAAAAAATAAATGCAGAAATTAGAAGCACACTAGGGCTGAAACCAGGATACAATTCAGTAAAGAGCAACAGATTATACTATGATTTGGCCATCTTATGAAAATGCACAGATACCAACTGAACCCACAAGTGAAGAAATATTTGAACACACAGCAAGAGGAAGACAATGCAAAAACAAAAATGGAATGATGGCATCAAGAATAATCATACAGAAAGGAAGATAATCTTACACAAAGCAGCAGACAGAGCACACGGACAATTCTTACATCACCCTTCAACAATTAGCTGAGGTAACTAGAAAAAGAAAAGAAGAAGAAGAACAACCAACAGTTGTTTTACTTTTCTAGGATTGTCCCTAACATTGCAAAATTTGCAATCTTATCTAGGCCAGGGAATTGTGTCTGTGTGGTTTTTGGCACAGTTATGAAAAGCCCACAACTTTCCCACGATCCTATTGTCTGTAAAACTACTAACACTCATGTCTGTATACCACAGAAAGTTGGCACTACACTGTAACAGAAAAGAAATACTAAACAAATGCAATGCCCCTGCGATGCTATCTCCAGGTTATCTTGAGAGACGACTGTTCAAAACAGGATATCTCATGCAACTTCATACAGCACTGCAAATATCTTATACAGTCTATCTGTGTGTGGTCAGCTGTGATCTTGTAACACTGTATCCTAATTAAGCTTTGTTCTTTTGTTAGAATCTACATGTGTGTATGTATGTTCAATGCTGTGAGTTGTTCTGTAAATAACTCTTTTTTAATACACCTTGTTCTATTAATCTGCCTTATTTTATGTTATCAAAATCAATGTCACTGGACTTCTGGAATGAGACAGAAGCAGTGACTGTTTTTTTTTTTAACTGCCACTGAATATAGAAATTAAAAGGAGGATGGCCATAGCAATGCAAAGATTAAACAGCATTAAAAGTCTATGGTTAAGCACCAGCAAGAAGATCAAAATTAAAATTTAGAGAGCATGCATCTTCCCTGTAGCAACATACGGATGTGAGCCGTGGACTATCTCCCAGTCCTTAAGAAAGAGAATATGGGTTTTTTTTTTTTTAGCTGAAATGTATAGAAAAGATTCTCAGAATATCTTGGACAAAGAAAAGGAGAAATACTGACATCTTGAAAGATATGAACATCAAGGAAGATTGGCTAATAAACAGCATCCTGTCTCGGAGCTGAAATATTTAGGTCATATCAAGCGCCACGACGGATTGGAAAAAATAATAGCAGAAGGCATGATACCAGAAAGGAGAGGCAGGGGCCGACCAACACGAAGATGGGCACAGGATATAAGTGACTCCTTGTGTATGAAAGTACATGAGGTGGGAGAGCTCGCAAGAGACCGAGTTTCTTTCATGCAGACCTTGATGAGAGCAAAAGGACCTGCTACATGATGATGTCACTGAATTTGCATAAAGGGGATGCAATTCTGGCCATATGATCCATTCACAAGATTCTCATAATGAAAACATTGAAAAGTATCGGGGGTACATGTAAACCATGTGGTAGACTGAGGTGTGTAATTATAGGTTCAGATGTCTAGCTACCACATTTAAACACCACTTTCTGTTTGAAGACAGCTGAAGAGATCCAGATAGGGAGGAAAGGACTAAGACAGACCAAGAAGCTGATCAATCAAATGTTGAATGGTCCCTTGTTGTACCCATCTTCAAGATCAGTTGCAGCAGAACAAGTTTTCATGCCTGCGTGGAATCCCTCGTATACACATATGCAAAGATCACTATATTCCCCCAGGATTCTCTGTTTGGGTGATATCCTCCCAGGGTGGGTGGAAAGGGGCATAACTGCTCAGGGTGGCATATTTTCTTTGCAACTTTCTCTTCCAACAGCTTGCCACTTGTATTCTGCATTGTGACTTCATGATAGCTCTGTATTGTTGTGTTGTCTTTATCAGACTTTGGCTGCGGTATCAGGTAACTGCAGCCATTCTTCACAGACTGTCTTACTTTCAAAGCTGCTGTTGTAAATACAAGCCAGCTCGCCCAACTCTTTATCAGACAGTGGAGCAATATCTCCATAGCGGATGCCACCTGGACCTGATGTACCATTTTTGTGTGTCTGCCTCAACATAGCCTTGATCTCACCTGCTTGTACAGAATAATGTTCCTCAGTTTCGTGGGCACAGCAAATACCTCAAGCGTGTGAAATGTCAGCTTGGCATTTTATTTTGTCTTGCTGGTCACTGCTCAAGATAGTGAGTGAGCAGAGCCAAGCCTTTGTGTTGATCCGTTTGTGCCAGGTCAGATCACCACTCTGAAAGTCTGGAATGCATTTGCTTTTAGATGCACTACTCATACTTCTGTGCAAGTGCCGAAAACAATTTTAGTGATTTGTAATTGCTCACCCTCATGCCCAAGACTATGCCCACATCTCACTTTTAGCCAGTTCTAAAACAATCAGCCTTCTTTTCTCATCAATGAATTATTTCAACAGATAAATGTGATCAGGCTGAGCAATTCAGTATTTTGGCTCATTTTGTCACTGCTGGCTCACAGCTTATCTTTCAAAGCTTTCTCCACCTCGCCATTTCACGGGAAAAGGTGGGGGGGGGGGGGGGGGGGGGGTGACATGCTTCTTATGCCAAGACATACTGTAGTATTGTATCTAAAAGACTGCACTTTAACCTTATGTATCCTTGACCAACCAGTATGCTGCAGGGAAGATGACTGCCCTAGGGAACTCCACATATGGATATGAGCAGAGGTGATACCGAAAAAAAGGTCAATAATATGTCTTTATTTGCTGGACGGGTCGCCATTGTCACTGTTGATGCAGACCAGGTTCGTAGATTAAAACCCATCTTCGAGCTCCTCCCCATAAATGTTATAAGAACAGTTTCCCCACAATTTGCTTTTGCCTATAAAACCTCTACAGAATATGGTGTTTCCCTCATATGAGATAATTTCATTCAAACATAGCCATTTCTGGAGGTCTGTTCATCCACTGCATGTAGAGACATTGAACAAACAGAACGAATGCACACAGTGGACCCTAAAGGCTTGAAGTTTTAGCTCGTCGCTGTCCCATCCAGATATATCTGACGCCGACACCTTTCTGCTGTCACACAGAAGGATGTCGTAAAAACATTTCCATCAGGCTGTATGAAGCACTTCATCATCAAGGTGCATGTCTTGTATGGCCACGATGTTTTATTTGTACACCAGGTTATCAAGAATGGATCCACACCGTTTGATGCTTGTGCAGTTGTAGTATAAAATATAAAGGTTGATCAGGTCTACAAGAATTAATCTGAGGCAGGTTCTTCTTGCTCCCCTCATGCCTGCCTTTTCTGTTATGTCGTCGTCTCTTACATCTGCATGTCTTATCCATCTAGTCATAGCCCGTTGAACTGTGTAACCATTATGACTACAAACATGCTAAGCTGCTGCAGGATGTTAAACACAGTTTTAAGGTGGTTTTAACTCAGATGCAGTTAAATGTAGTACCGAAGAATATCTAGGAAATAAGAGACCTCCTGTGTTATTTCTGGGTCACACTTACTGTACGATGAAGAAGATACTGTCCTGCACTGACAATGTTTTAATGTACTGTCAAGGCAGAGACTGGAAGCTGGTTGCAGAGGGTCTTCAGACAGAATCTGAACATATAAGCAGGTGGTGCGACGAGGTAGGAGTGGTTGTCAATGTGTCAAAGTCAACAGTGACATCGTTTTCACTGAATAACCATATTGTAAAAACTCAAAAACCAACTGTAATTTGTGTCTGGAGATCCTGAAAGAACTCGCACAATGAAGTACGTAGGAGTGTGTTTGGATCTGCCACTGTACGCACTTAATCATGAAAGGATGTGGTTTGTATTCAAGGCAAAGAGGGAAAGAGAGGAGATAGAAAAGATAAAGGAAGAAAAGAGATTGAGAGAGATTAAAACAGTGAAAGAGACAGATCACACAAGAGTTAGCGAGATACAAGAGAGCAAAAGAGTGGAGCAGCAACAGAGTGAGAAACAAACAGAAATGTAGGTAAGAAACAACTCTGATAGAGGGAAGTGAATTAAGAGAATCAAGGAGGGAAACAGCAGAGTGAGAAACAAACAGAAATGTAGGAAAGTAACTGAAACAGAGGGAAGTGAATGAAGAGATGCAAAGAGGCCCTGCAATAAACAATGAGAAACCCACCTCCTCCAGTTAACACAGACATACATTACAGGCTGTAATAATAGTAAGTTAACTCATAATTATCAGTTAGTGCTGGTTAGATATGGCACTGCATTTACGTGAAGTGCTCAGATAAAGCTAACTAAAAGTACTTAAACACATGGGGAGAAAAAAGGACCATGCCACTGAAATTGACGTGCTCAGATATAGCACACTAAAAGTACTAGAACACACGGAAAACAATGCACCATGCCACTGAAATAGAAGTATTCAGATATAGCAAAATAAATGGGCTCTCCTTGCAATAACGGTCGCTAGTTGGACGGCCGCTTAGGCGGAGTTCAGTTCCCTGGCTGCAGTGCAATTACGGAGTGGAAAAGAGGGAACGACACAAATGACATAATTAGGGGTAGATTAGGGTTTGGGTTAGGGTTTGGGTTAGGCTAATGTGAGTCGCAGCGTGTGGTCTAGACAGCATGTTGAACTCACTGTGTTTTGTCCACTCCGTTATTGCACTGCAGCCAGGGGACTGAACTCTGACTAAGTGGCCGACGCCGTCCAAGTAGAGACCGTTATTGCAAGGAGAACCAATAAATGTACTACAACACATGGGGAAAAAATGCACTACGTCATTGAGATAAAATGCTCAGATACAGCAAACTAAAAGTAATGAACATATGGGGACAAAATGCACCATGCCACTGAAATAGAAGTGCTCAAATATAGCAAAATAAAAGTACTGAACACATGGGGGGAAAATGCACCAAATCACTGAAATGGAAGTGCTTAGATATAGTATACTAAAAGTACTACAACACATAGGGAAATAACCTAAAACATCACTGAAATGGAAGTGCTCAGATAAAGCTTACTAAAAGTACCAGAACACATTGAGGGGGTGGGTGGGGATATGCACTGAACCAACATTTGCACCAGACTAAATGGCCTCACTTCATAAGGGAAACCTAACAGATACAATGGAAATAAGAATAGATGTTTGACAGTGATGTCTTTTGTTGTCTCTACTACTGTTACTAGATAATGAATAAGAAGACAGCAACAGCTACCATAAGGAATGGAATTTAGAGGACCACTACAAAACAGTTTGACGACCTGGACTTCGCTGATGATATTTATCTTTTATCTCACTCACAGAAAAAGATGTAAGATAAATTGAACATACTTGATGATAGATCACAAAAACTAGGTCTAAAAATCCACAAGAGAAAGACAAAGATAATGAGAATAAACAAGGCAAACAGCAATCTTATTTATCTTAGTGATAACTTACTCCAAAAATGGAGTTACACACCTATTTGGGTGGTAATGAAGACAAAGATGCTAGCAACTGATACAGATTTAAAAAAAAATATGAATACAAAAAAAGTGTTTTTTCTTTGTGGAAGTCAATGGAAATAAAAACTAATATAAATAATAAACTTTAAATGTTTAATTCTAATATAAAATTAGTACTGCTGTTTGCAGCATACATAAAATAGAATTAAAACACTTTTTAATAAATCGCAAACATTTATTACCTGGTGCCTGTAAAGTACAAAAGGAATTAAATGGTATTACTATTACAGAATCACTAGAACTTTGGGAAAGAACTAAAATTGCAGTGAATGAAAAGACACTAGTGTTGCCTCGGGCACCCACTGAAAAAACATGAAAACAATATAACTACAATGTTTTTGCAGTGGAACAGACAGGGGCGTAGAACAAAGGCATACCAAATCACAAGAATAAGGGAGCCAGGGGTGAAGTTAAAAAGACAGGGAGGAGACACAGGGTGAGCTGTAGCAACAGAAGAAATCGCCCCTAAAAACTTTGCATGTAACATGCACAATCTAAATACAAAGCAAAGCTCCACATTTAAAACTTACTCAAAACAAAAGCTAATTAGTCTATTATTGAATATGTTTGCCGAAATCACTCAATGTCGGATTTTCGCATGACGGAGACGGGAAAGAAAAGAGGTTAAGTACCTGCACCAAACAAGGAAAAACACTCCTCTAACCAATATACAGATATTCCATATAAAAAAAAAAAAAAAAACTGCAAGTAAGTAAACTGTCACATCACCAAGTTGATGTCAGATAATAGACATGCCACTGTATTGAATGGACGTGCGGAAGATAAGGCAAACAAAACACAAAAAATTCACCGTGTCAGTGAACTGTACATTTAAACCCCGCAAAAAACTCACTGCATGTAACGTGCAAAATCTAAACATACAGCAAAGCTCCACAACTGAAACTTACTCAAAACAAAAGCCAATTAGTCTGTCATTGAATTTATTTGGAGGAATCAGTAACTCAATGTCGGATTTCCGCAGAAAACTGTCTCCAAACCTCAAAACTACAGCATCGTCGTCTGCCATGGTCTAGCAGTACAGCCATACTATGACGTCACTTCCCCCTGTAGCGACCTGTAGTGAAAACGTTTCTGGGGATCATGTCCCTGGTGGCTTAATACCTGCCTGAATCCTTGACCCACAAAATTCGGTCTCCTTCAGCACAATTTAGGACGGGGTTAAGAAGATTTGAGTTGTTACGCCATGAAGAGTCTCTTCAGGTTTTATCGAAGCAGAGTCTATGTAGGCTCGTCTGTCTCCGTGTGTGCTTTGTTGTATTCGCGTCAAGTACCTTGTTTGCCACGCCCCCTTATAATAAGTCAGTGGTTGAAGTTTGCTCAATGGAGAGAGGAGTGATTGATAAATTAACGTCCAAAGGTCAGTGCACGCATTGCGGAAAAAAGGCTATATAATAACTAAGGCAGTGTTTCAAATGAAAACAACAGAAAAATAAAATTCAGTACGCTCCTTGTTGTTTATTCGTCTAACTGAACCCTGTTATTCTTTGGGCTGCCCGTCTCTCTAGCGTAGTTGGCTAAACCGGATTGCGCGGTGAGCGTGTGACGAACTCCTTGTGGTCCGGGTTCACTCCCGGGGGTAGGCATAAAAGCCACATTTCTCCCAGATTTACGGTATTTAAAATGGAATCAAAGCTGAAAGGTTGCGATATCCATAATACCGAGCCTAAGGGTTAACAACTCATGGCTTCTGGATACTAAAACAAACAAACAACAATTCTTTGGGCTGGTTAAATGGAAATATACATGCAGTGTTTTCACTGATGCTTTCTTCTGCGTTTGTTTGTTTTAGTATCGAAGCCATGGGTTTTTAACCCTTAGGCTCGGTATTATAGATATCGCAACCTTTCGACCTTACGGTAAATACCGTAAATCTGGGAGAAAATGTGGCTTTCCTACCTACCCCCGGGATTGAACCCGGACCACAAGGAGTTCGTCACACGCTCTCCGCGCAATCCGGTTTAGCCAACTACGCTAGAGAGCCGGGCCTTACTTTATTCTGCCTACACAACGCATTACCAACAATGCCAGTGTTCTAGGATACAGGATACCGGTCTACAAAAACCCCAGCTAATCTTTGGGATAAGCCAAGCATCTTTAACTCGTCATCGACTTGAAGATTTTTTTTCAGTCTCTAATGATTTTTTTTTAACAGAACGCTTTATTTGTTACCTTTTAGTTTATTACCTAATTATGCATAATTTTATTTACATCAGCGAAAAAAAGTTGGTTGCTTATCCTTTACAGGACGTTACAGAACCAACTCCAGCATTTTCTGGGTTGTTGTGGTTTTTCTAGACAAATTTTAAGTTCAGTAGTTTGCTATTGCATTGCGAAGTGCTTCGTATTGCCGGGGTGCCGGGTTGGATCCCAGCTGCCGGCCTTGCACCTTGCGTTGGTTTCGACAGTGGTATCGAGAAGCCGACCGCCCAGAAAGCAATGGCAAACTACTGGACGTAAACCTGCCTAGAAAAACCACAACAAATTTTTAAAATATGCTGGGGTTGGTTCTGCAACGTCCTGTAAAGGATACGCAACTAACCAGTTTGGCATTGCTTATTCAAAGGTCAGCTCTCGGTACCACTGTCGAAACCAGCGTTTGCAACGCCTAAGCCAAAGACAACGAAAAAAAAAAAGCATTCTTAAAATTATCTTTCAAATAAGCAAGTGTCGTTTTCACAATAAAGATTGATTGCTATGGATCACTAACATGTTCTGTCTCACTGCAGTTGTGCTCTGACATTTTGCTAGTCATTCTGCTTCTACATAGAGAAACAAGATTAAATTGGATGAGCATCTAATCAGAATGCAGAAACGCCAGTTACAAACACGATATGTTACATTCAGAGATATTTTCCCTCGATGCGCAACAATAGGCGGTACCGGCTCCTTGTTTCGGGCATTGTTTTCAGCGTAACTAATAAACACTTGAAGATCAACGTAGACAGACGTGATGACATTCTCCAGAAAAGGAAGAACCACCAATATCAAAATTAATGAAGGCCACTTAATACAGGAGAAGGATTTTACAGATCTTGGAAACATTTTTTTTTTCAGAAGACGGAAGAATTAATAAAGAAATCCAGCAAAGATGCAAAAAAGCCAATTAAGTTTTAGCTAAATGGCACCAATTTTGAAAGCATGTGAATTTGAACACTAAAAGATCACTGTTCAACACAATATTTTTACCAAAGCTATGCTACCAATGTCAAACAGGGACACTTGTCTTCAGAAGGCAGAAGGAAAATAGGCATCACATAAATGAAATGTTTACGTACTATGCTAAGTGTAGCCCTATATGCCCTATACGCATACGTATACGTGGAAAAGGGTCCTTTACTAGTTTTCTTTACTAAGTGTAACGAGGAAAGACCGACTTGGGAACGGCGATATCAGGAGGAGAATCGGCATAGAACCAATGCTGAAAACTATAGATAAACAACAAATCAAATGGTTTGGCCATGTAACAAAACTGTCATCAGTCAGGGCACCACGGAGAGCAATGTTTTAGAAATACAGCGGTAACGGAACCAGAGGTCGACTACCGCGGAGAAGATGGACCGCAGAAATAAAATGAGTGCCGATCGATACATTGTCTGCTTGTTTGTTACATTTAATATATTTAGACAGTCTCAAGGTTACCCTCTGTTTATTTATGTGAATAACGTATACACAATGGAATCTAGCAATCAAATACCTTTCTTAAATGTTTGTGTATTCTAGACAAAGCATTACGGTCTAGTGTGTTTGTAAATCGTTGCTATGTTTGTTATTCGACATGCTTCGTTAATATAAATTTCTGTAACTTATGGTGCTATTTGAATGGTTTGAGATACATTCTGTCCGTATTCTATAGTTGTGGATTTGAAGCTGTACGATAGACATGGCGAAATAAGACACCTTTTTTTTTAGGGTGCCTAGTTGACCATGTTTTTAGCGCACACGCCATCTGGAGGTGACAGGTTCGATTCCTGGCACGGTAACTATAGCTTTAGATTTTTTTTTTTTGGGTCTAGTGTGTTCTTCTATCTTTCTACTTCTTTCTATGAGTGCCGATCGATATATTGTCTGTTTGTTTGTTACGCAGAAATATCAGACACTGAAAAGTAGTTTATGAGAAGCGAACAGAAAGGCCCATTCTAAAGATCTCTTCCAAACCTGACGCAGCGAGGCATTCCAGGAGTAGAGAAAAGAAGAAGAAGAAAAAGAAGAATAAACACTTTAGGATAAGTACCGGCGCCGTTTTTCGACATTTTGTGGTGATTACAGACACCTATTTATTCTAAGAATAAAAGACCTAGTTACAAATAAAAAGAGCTGATACAAGAGAAAGAAAGCGCACAAGAAGAAGATTACTCTTGATGACACTAAAGACGGTGTACGTCGACACATAATGATTGTTGCAGTGGCAGCTCGTGCATAGACGCTGCGGGGCTGCAGCACTTCCATTTGAACTGGATAGTATTTCTAATCAGTCGACCCCTACAGTATGTTTATTGGGGAGGCAGTGGGTCTATTCTTGTTTTTTCCTACAACGGTACCCCAGGACACACACGGTTTGATTTCTACAAAGACATGTGCGTCGTATCGTTAAGAGAATAATGGCAAACTACTGATCGTAAAATTGCCGAGTAATATCACACACACAACAGCCAATACTTGATGCCATTGGTTTGTGAGGTTTTGACGAGAATATTCAACGGTTTTGCAATTACTTTAAACATATTCTGCATGTCTCTTTTAGAAATTACAATTGGCTGCTGAAGATAGGGGCGGTACGCTTATTTGAATGTTTCGAGTGCTGTGATGTTATTTCTTTTAACTCAGCTGCACTCAGCTCAACGCAGCTCTCTTAGAATAGCATTCCCCACGTTTGGTTATGTCAAGATCTGTCTATATAAATTACTTCAAAATAACGGTGCCTGGTAAAATCAGCTTACAGACAAATCCAAGTCATTGGCACCTGAACCTGGGCTCATGTCTATTGAGTCCTTCCCCCAATAATTTGTATTTATTTATTAGAAGCAGAGGCCAACCTCAACCCAACCCCCCCCCCCCCTTCCCGTCCTCTTCCCCCCTTCCGTCAATAGGGGTATTGTTTTCGACGCATTTGTTTATGTTTCATATTATTTCAAATAAATTATTATATTTGTTGTAGTTCGGCAGCATAATAATAATAATTATTATTGGCTTATTAAAAGAGGCTAAGCACCTTGAGCCTGCCCCCGCTCCTTCAAAAATTACCATCCCCCTCCTTTTTTTCCAACGTTGTCTTGGTGACAGTGCGCTTGTCACAAGAACCCCACCCCTAGTGTGTTATGAGCATTCCGTGTTTGCTTAATGCAGCTGTAAATCTTGAATTTATTACAGGACTCGATATATTTTATTGTTAACTTGAATTCTAGTCTATAGTTCTCTTTACACTATTTTCACCTTCAATATCTGCAAGCAGTATTGAAAGGAGGTGGGGGGGGGGGGGGGGGGGGGGCCGACGCCAAAAAGTCACTAGCGGGAGGGGAGATGCAATCAGCCCTCACATACATTCTCTGGAGGGGGAAGTACCCAAGGAGCACAAGCCTTGTTTAAGTGCTTAATAATAATGTGATAAGTTGCAAATCACACATGCATTATATTTGAAATAGCATAAAACGAACAGGAGCCTTAAGAGAGTGTAGAACCAAGACCACAGATCGAACGTGTTGGGGTTTGGGGATCCATTGTAGCCGACCTTTAGTGTCTACACAGCACCTGGTTGATAAACTGATGCATAAACACAAACTGAAATGTTAAACTTCTATACATGAAGCTGAAATATGTTTGTCATAGCAAGCGCCTTGGCGGTTTGGGAAAAATAAAATAAAAGTAGAAGGCATCATACCAGGAAGGATGGGCAGGGTCCGACCAACACTAAGATGGGTACAGGATATAAGTAACTCCTTGTATATGAAAGTATACGAAGAGCTTGAGAGACCGGGTTTCTTACAGACAGACCACGATGAGAGCGACGTT